GACATGCCCTGGGCAGGGTGCAGCTACAACAGCACAGAAGGTGGCACTGCAGTTGGCACTGGGACAGAGCAGTGGGCTTTGCAGGGGATCCAGTAAGTAGCAGCTTCCTCTCCAAAGCTACCAGGGCAGGGCCTGGCCTTGCACTTCTGCGATCCCTGGCACAAGGCTGAGCACATAGTAGGTGCTTTCTAGAGGTAAGTAAACCCATGATTACATTCTCTAAATCCTGTTTTGCTGTGGCACTGGATCAGGACAAGTGTTTGCCAGAAGACATTTCAGAACATATGTAATTTTAACCTTGAATCTGCTCTCGTCTTCCTTAGCACCTGCCTGTCTGCTGGTTTGCTGTGCTGTTGCAGTAACACCAGTGGAATTGTCTTTTTCAATGTATAGACTGTCTCCCCAAATATTACCTCTGTGGAGCCTCTTACCTCCTCTGAAGAGCTGCTCTCCACTGTCCAGAGGTGGCCAGGACGGCGGGCTTTGCAAACACTAACTGGTCTGCAGGTAGGTCCTCTAGAGTCCCCTCTTTCACCTTCCCTGCTTGTCTTTAGCTTGGCAGTAACATCCTCACTGCACAGATAGAATGCCACAGCTCAGACAGGGACAGCATTTGCCCAAAGCCTGCCAGTGAAGTGGAGATGTCAAGCCTCTAAGCTGGGACTGAGGGTGCTAGGCTGTAGTTTTCCTAGGGAAAACTTGATCCTAAGAAACATTAATCCTTTCCCTTTATTTTTTTAAACATTTATTTATTTATTGTGTGCGTGCGTGTGTGTGTGTGTGTGTGTGGCCAGCTCAGCCCACCAGGGGGCAGGGCCGGCTGGCATGCGGTGCCAGGGGATTGAACCGCAGTCCCTGTGCTTTGCTTGGCTTAGTTTGTTCCAAGTAGGCGCTTTAGACCACCGAGCCATCCCACCAATAAATAAAATTAAAAAAAAAAAAAAAAGAAAGAAATTCCCATGGGGGAGATGCACTGCGATGCGGCCCCATGCAATAAATTCTAGTCAGGGGAGGCAGCCTGACCCCAGGCTGGAGCTGAGAGTTGTAGGATTGTCATAGGAAGAGGTCTTGGGCAGATTTCAAAGAGCATAAGCTGCAACAAGTCATGATTTCTGTCTGGTTTATTACCCAGTGACTTGACTACTAGGACAGGGCTTGACATATACTAGGTGTTCAATAAAAAGGCCCTAAAATAAAGAAAGGAGGGCTGGGGAGTGGCTCAGTGGAATAAGTGCTTCCTTGGCAAGCGCAAGGGTCTGAGTTCAATCCCCAGTTCCGCCAAAAAAAAAAAAAAAAAAAGAAGAAGAAGAAGAAGAAAGAAAGGAAAAAGAGAGGAAAAGTGAGGAAGGAGGAAGGGAGGGATAGGAAGAGGAAATATGAGTCTAGGGTGGATGTGTGAAATGGCTTGGTCATTCTGGGAACTGAAAGCACAGTAGCTCCAGGTGGCTGTGGCCCCTTGGGTGGGGCTGAGTAGAGGGTGTGGCCTTATCTAATCTTGTTGTGGGTAGTATCCAGTTCTTTATCTTCTCACTGTCCCAGAGCAGAGCTACCTAGTAGATGGAGAGACTCCCCTCCTCAGGTTCCCTGGGACTCCTCCTGTTCTCCTCCTCTTGAATGGTGTTGGATATAGGCACATAGATGACTCAGACTCAGATCCTGCCCTCCAGGCTCCTGGGGCAGCCATACAACAAATACCAGGCTACACAAGGCACAGAAGGCATGGAGAACTATAGAGAGTGGTGGGTGTAAAACAAAACAAAGGCAGGGTGACAGAGGGGTGGATTTTGCTCCAGGAGTAGAAGCAGGGAGATTTTCCAAGGGAGGTGGCCCTGGAGGGGGTGTTAGCTTCAAATGGTGAGAGCTCAGTGTGGTGGAGCACACCTGTGATCCCAATACTCCAGAAGGCAAAGCAGGAGGATTGCCACAGGTTCGAGGCCAGGCTGGGCTACGTAGTGAGTTCAAGGCCATCCTAAACTACATAGCAAGATCCTTCCTCAAAAAGAAAAAAAAAAAAAAAAAAAAAAAGAAAGAAAAAAAAGTGAGAGAAAGTGGGATGGGAGACAGTCTAGGCAGGGGGCATCATACCCATGGTCATGGCCTGGGGACATAGAAATTAGGGGAGTCCAGTAGGGAGAGGTAAAGAGGGACCTTGAATGCCACCGTTGGACACATTTTGGATCATCTTGCCAGTGGTGCACCTGGAGCCAGGGTTACAGGATGGTCCTCTGGTTCTCTTTGTCTGGCTCCTCTCAATTTCCTCTTCAGTTCCACCAAGAACTCACCAATCCACAGGAGCCTTCTTTTGTGTTCAGCCCAAAGACCCAGTGCCTGGCACAGGGTCCCAGAACACCACCCCTTTTATTCCTATCACATGGGCTCTGGCTCTGAGGAGAGACTCACCCTTGCCCTTTGGACTTTTTTTTTTTTTTTGTGGAACAGGGGATTGAACTCAGGCCCTTGGGCTTACCAGGGAAGCACTTATTCTACTGAGCCATCTCCCCAGCCCCATGGATTTTTGTTGTCCTTGTTGTTGTTTTAATTTTGAGCCAGGGTTTTGCTGAATCTGTACGTTGGGCAGGCTGGGCTTGAATTTGCAGTCCTCCTGCCTCAGCCTCTCAGAGCGCTGCGATCACAAGCATGAACCATTACACCTGGCTAGAGGGAAATTATAACGTCACAGGACATCAAACTGTGGAGATATTAAGAGATCTTTTACCTCCTTTGACCATCTGATAGGCAAAGAAACCAAGGTGCAGGTGGCTGTGCTTTGTGGCAGCCTGGACACTGGCAGGACATGGACAGCCTGGGAGAGGATGGCCCATTAAGGCAGCACCTTCCTTTAGCCGTCCTGTCCATGAGCCTTTGCAGGCACAAGATGAGTCAGGAATCTTGTGAGTCAGTCTGTTGACAGCCATCCCCAGCCAGTCCTCGCGCATCAGGAATAGGAGGAAGTCCTGGGAAGGGTACTAGCAGGCCGATTTAATTAGCGGAGGCTCTCAGGTACCTTACGTTAGCCCTATTAAATTAAAGCGCCTAGGGGAAAAAATAACTGTAATTATTTCCTTCTCTCCCCCATCGTTGTATTTCAACTCCCTTCCAACCTCCATGCTTCTTCCTTCACTGGCAAAACAACCTTTCAACCCAGAGCTGACACACAGACTCCCCACAGCTCGGGTTCAGGGTGTTTCCCCTTTTTCTGTCTCTTTCCCCGTGAGCTCTGGGTGCACGGCAAAGAGCAGTGTGAATCCAGAAGTGTCTGCAGGGTCTGGCTGTATTCTAATTTAGGGAGGCTGTTACACTGAGGAGAACATTATTCCAAAAATGCACCCAGTCTCCTTCCTGAACCATTGCAGATCCTTTGGCTGCAGGGCATTTCTTTTAAAAGCCCCCTTTTCTCTCTTCTACTGAGCAAAATAAGCAAACTTTAATGTAGAGAATTATTGTTTATTTTCTTGAAATCTAGTTCGGAGTTTTCTACTTGAAACGTGTTTTCCCCAGGACACTGACCTATCCTTTAATTGTTTGGTGCCAGGCATGTTAGGGGGAGGGGCGTCACTTGTTTATTGGAACAGCGCAGTTAAAAAAAAAAAATCAACCTAGGCTAACAGTTTCAAGGCTCCCCTAAAGATGTATCCAAACAGGCAGCCAATCAGCGCTTACACAGCTTTTTCTGCTTGACTCTTTTAAAGAGACAGTACCAACTGTATTTTATCACATTTAAAGAGAACCGCGCTCTAAAACAATCTGAAAATGGGGGTGCCTTCCCCTAATTCGCCGGTTTCTGGTCCTAAGAGTATCTAAAGAGGGGAACACAGCGTGTTTTCAGTGCTCTTGGCGTGGGCAGAAAGGTGTCAGTAGTAAATAGCTGGGTCACTCTGCCAGCCCCCTCTCAATTTCCCATTGTACACCTGGGTCACTGACAATGGAAGCTTCCCCTCCCCCCACGGCCGACTCAAGTCCCCCTCTCCCTAATTTAGCTGTATTTATTTGAAGTTTGCAGTTTTCTGCGGGGCGCATTCTCAGCCGTGGGGCACCCAATTGAGGTCCCCCGCCCCATCCCCGAACAGCACCGTTTCCCGTGGAGAAGCCGAGGGGCTAACTTGCCACGGCGGGTAAACCTTGGAAATTCGGGAGAAGTCACTCTCCCTCCTTTCAGCCCAAGTCCCCGGTTTCCTCCCCCGGGGCTCCCCAAAGCACGCCAAGGGCCTTTTTCGCGCGGCTCCACTTTGGGGTTTTCCAAAGTATTTTAACGATCTAGTAAAGGAGCAGCCGCGCGCCAGGCGCCGGCTAGAGCCGCCCAGCTCCCAGCGTGCAGCTGCTGCCGGCGCTCAGTAGCCCGGCAGGGCGCGCGGAGGCCAACGGGCCCGGGGAGGGAGGGCGCGATCTGAGCTAGGCTGGCGCGGGCCGCGGCGGGGAAGCGAGAGGGGCGCGCGGGAGGGCGCGAGCGC